AAGTGATTCCTTATTACTACTAGTGCTACACGCTAAGCACTCAGTAATTACTGATGACAAAAACAACTCTTTGTGAGCCAATGAAAAACTATGTTGGATGTTGATTCTTAGTTAGTTTCCAATTCCCTCTTGCGTTTGCCATCTTCCATCTGAATGCAAAATTATCACAACACTCATGAGCACATAAACAAAATATAATCAAGAGCAATCAGCTAAGTAGTGCTCCTTGATTGCAACGTTCAGATGCAATCTCACCGACAAATCAGTCGTTTTGCTTCAAGAAGTCACCACCCACTCAGTCGAAGTGCTGCTGTACTCAGAACTGCCGTATATTATTATCACTTGTTTGTGAATGTTGCGATGAGAAGTAGTAAACAGACCTTATGATAGTAGTGATGCTAATATGTTCGCTCCTCAGGAATGAAAGCATTTCCTTTGCATTAGCTAACTCAATTATTTTGGTTGCTTCACATTACCCACGAATGAGTGCGCTCTAATCTCATTTAGTTTCCATATTTTTCATCCCGTTCATCATCCATATCAGCCAAACAAATCCGCACATATGCAACTTCAAATACCTTAAATTTCATCTCCTATGCGTGTATAATTATGTTCCTTTCAAAATTTTCCATCAACCNTGTGAATGCCTGTGGATATTGGTCTTTAGACATGAGTACTTTCTCATGCCCTTTCCTTGGTTAGCGGAATAATATTCCTGCCAAACAATCAAAAACCTATGAGAATCTTCAAAAAAATGCAATTGAATAATTGCGATAATCTATTGAGAAACCTTCGGCGTAATTCTCCGCGATTATACGATTTTCCTTCTTTTAACCACTGGAAAAGAATCAGATGTGATGCAATTCATTGAAATTGTATTTGTGATGAATAGTCATGAGTGAAGAACGCTTCATTTAGATATTAATGGTGTTTACGTACCTCATGATGTTGACAGCACCATACATACTAATGGAACTCTCACTAAAAACGCATTAGAGGAGGGAGCTATTTTGTTTTGATTGTAAGGCTGTTAGCGTGAATGATGAATGCAATGACGGTTGAATATTTCAGCGAGCGAATCACCGAAAAATACTGCTTGCTTGCTTTTGATAAAGGGCACATGACAATTGCTAAACAAATTATCAACGCACCAGAACCATTGCGCACAAGAATGTTTCACGACGAATTCAATTAACTAAACTGAGCATTTTGTTTGAGTCCCGTATTTGATCAGTAACAATCACTAAGAACCGTTTCAGCACGAAAATATCTCCTCAACCATCTGTCTCCCACCTTTTCAAAAAAAAATTTTGTTGCACTCCAACACGACAATTTGTCCACGTTCTCAGAAACTTTTTCGCTCATTTTAGACCGATTTTGGAACATGTGCTTATT